TTAACATCATCAACATAATTATATGTATTTAAGTTATTGGGTTTAATTTTTAATTTGAAAGATACTAACATAAAGATCACTTAATGGCCTTTTAATTGCTACAATGTTACCTACGCAACTGTCAGTTGGATATTGATCTCATTATTCCAGAGAATTATTGCAGAGCTTTCAAAATATAACCTAATATGATACGTGTCCTTTCTCCAACTTTTTGCATTTGTCTTTTTATTTCCTTACACATGCAGGACAAATTTAATTACTAAAATACCATTATTCGTATTAGCAAAGTTTGATATTGTTCCACAAACAGGTTTAACACAATTTAATGATGTAATGCATGTTTTTAGCTTTATAAACAATAAGTTATATTCTCTCATATTAGTTATGCAAAGTATGATATCTTCAAGAAAGTTTCGAAACATATTTGTTCTTCTCTAAAGTTTTGAAGTGAGATAAATTAAGTCGTAAAGTATAGTATATTAAGCATCAAGAACGGTAAGGACATTTTACCGACCGAAGACAATTGGGTCGTCGCACATATTTTTTTTTATTGCATATCTTTATCTTTATTAAAAAATAATTAACCCGTGTTTTCTTTTTTTTTTGAAATCTTAATTTTAGTACAAAAAAATATTATAAAAACTCGTAAAATGAAATAAAATCAAGACGCACGCGTTTTATTTGCTGTGAGGTAATAATCCGTTCTTTGCTCTCATTGGCTGTTTGAATGTCGGTAATGCAGATTGCAGATCTGTTTTAAGCTTCGACCATATCTATTTAATGATACCGATGATCTTGTATATGTTTTTTACAATTATTTAGTAAAGGTACAAACATTTTATCAATAAAAGCCACAAATATATTAGATAGACACGCTATCCAGCGAGTTTGTAGGCAGTTTGTTTGAAGCCAACATGTATGGACAAGAGGAGTGAGGGGCAAGAGGATGCTTACTCTTCCTTACGCCTTGTTCAGTGGTGGCTCATAGGCAAGGGACAGAAAATGAAAAATATTATAAGTTTCATAAATAATGTTGCTTGTTAAAACTGGTGATATTTCGAGATTTTCAAACTACTTGACTCTTTTGGTGTGATCACTTAACAATCTACAATCATATCGCCCGCGTTACAATATAAAAAAAAATCAATGTAATATTGGAATATTAGAATACATTACGACGCCACTGGTGGTTCACATATTATGAATGAACCAATCAGAGAAGGAGTTCTCTAAGGGTCAAATTCGCATACCATTAGTCATTTCCCCTTGCCCCACCTGCACATGTTGGCTTCACAACAAATCAGAGTATGCCTGGACTATCTAATATATGGTCGAAGGTTTTAAGGTTATATTTTGGTGTTTGTTTGTTTCAATATCTGTACAATAATAATTATGATGTCAAAGATGAGTACATTTAAGCGTTGTGATTAAACATCCGCCATATTATTCCACTTGCCACTGTCAGTTGTTGTCAGTGCTTTTGGGATTGTTACGTAGTAAACCGGGAATTTATCTCGGATTTAAATTCTACCCCAAACTTAATAATCGAAATTATAGTATTTCAAACTCTTCCAAGTTAATTTTGCTTCTTCTTTTTTGTGTGATTGATTTTTGTTAGTTTTTTAAAGAGTAGTTATGCCAAGGGCATTATTGGATGTTTATGGCCTCCGAGGGCGACAAGTTTGCAAGAACGTGGACCTCCAGTCCGAGGTTTTTGTAATAAGTTCCCCAAGGACCATAAACATTAAATAATGCCTAAAGTTCTTAGAAGGTTTATTGTTTTATCTGAAATTAAAAATTTTTAATATGAAATGTTAAAATAAATGACAGTGGATAAATTAAACCATTAAATTCGTCACGACGTTTCGAAACCTTTACTGTATCTTCGTCAGGCGAAGAATTTTCGTTGGCTGAACGTGGGAGGCATGGCACAGTCAACGAAAATTCTTCGCCTGAGGAAGATAATAAATGTATCAAAACGTGGCGACGAATTTAATGGTTTTATTTATCCTTTGTCCTGTAAACCATCTTCTACAAAATCAAGAAAATAAATGACAGTGAAGTAGCTTATAGTGCTCTGGGAAGTAGGTAAAGTATCCTGGTGAATAAATTATAGAACTTTAACAACCCTGAATGCCCAAGAGCATTATTCCTTCATAATATACCTCAAATATTTCAATAATAACTTTAATTAAGTAATTAACTTTACTCTAGAATGTAACATTAACATTTTTATTATAATAAGCGTATTTAAGATCTCTCTGATATTATGCACTTACCCACTTACCATTATCAAAGTCTTACTTTTTGCCTCATTTGAACCAATATATTTTTTGCGCGATTAGACTCTGTTCTATTGTGTGTTTACTTTACTACGTCTGTTTCCAAGACAGTAAGTTGTATTTACTCGTTGCTATCCCAAACTGGTCGATAAGGATTTTGTTTTTTGTTGCTAAGTCTGTAAGCATTCAAAATACTTTGGAGTTTTAGAATATTTTTTAGATATTTTATTAATAAAACAACAATTTTAAACCAACGAAAAGTTGGAAACAATATTTTTTGGATTGACGAAAATAAAAGTCAAAGCTCAATCTCCTTTCATTTTAAATTATTGATAAATGAGTAAACATGAGAAAGCCTTCTCGTGCCCCGACAAATTTCCATTAAATTCAACAACAAACCAAATATAAAAAATACAATAACAACTTGAACAAGAAAGAAAAAAGTAAGAAAGTAAACGGTAGCATGGAAATATTTATCTTTACATCCTACAATTGCGTTTGCGTATGGTTAGCCAATATTAGAGCAGGTAAAGTAAAAAATAAACCTTGGAAAGCGCAAAATAAAAGTTAAGTTCTTTTTTTTTGAGTTTTATCCCGTTACAATAAAAAGTGTAAAAGTTAACTTTCAGTGAAGTTTATTAATTAGGTTGACGTAATTTGTAAGAATTTTCATATTTCTGCTGTTTTAGGTGTAAAAAGCTCATTACAATATGAGGAATATTAATTGTGCATGAAGAATGTATGTACTTACATAGTTTTTAAGACATGTACAGGGTGATTCTTAAATAGACCGACAAAATTTTATCCTTGGTAGTATTAAATGAACGCATATTGGAAAAAATATTTAAAAATTTTTTTGTTTAAACGTTCTCCAAATAAAATTTATTAAAGTTATATTCGAGGTAAAGCGTACTCCACTGATGTTTTCGTAAATAGTATTAGCACAGGTAGTGGAAACCATAGTATTAACTTGATGAAAATGTGCTTCATCATTGCAACAATTCATAAAGTGGCACGGATCAAGGGGGTTTTGCCCCTAAAAAATATAAACGCTAAAAGGATACAGTTTGTTTCCATATATCGTTGGAAAGCTGTGATAAGATTTTGTCGGTCTATTTAAGAATCATCCTGTATGTATGAACGTGTGTATGTCTGTTTTTGAACTAACTGCACGTGAAACGTCGTCAAATGAAATGAAAAGTCGAAAGGTAAAACAGCAAACTGGGCTGGGCTGGAATTAGTCGTTCACGTATAATAATACGACCGTTTTTTGAAAGTAAATCATAAATTTAGTTATTAAAACCATCATCTTTTTGATCATGCCATTTTACCTTTCAACTTGTCATTTTATTTGACGTTTCACAGACATAGGTATACTCGTTTTCAAATTAATGTGCATCGAAGTAGTCGCTGAAAGGGATCGTTTTAAGGTGGCACCCATGCAAACATTCAAACAATCCTAACCTCAACCTTCCCTAAAAATTATTTTTTTTAGATAAACCCCAGGTAGCAAAAAATAATTAAAATTAACAACACAATTAACAAAACAATTTTTGTCATTATTATTGAAGTGATTAAATTTGTTCTGAATGACATTAATGACACTTTTTGTGTAATTCAGTCTTTAAATTAAAGATGCATTTAAACTTCTACAACCTGCTTGATGCACATTAATATGAAAAAGAAAGTACGTTAATGGATCCAAAGATGACTTGATTACAAATTATCTCGATCTCTTATATTTTAATATAAAATTTCTGTCAAACTAAACAGCGAAAACGGTTCTAATTAATATTCTTTTTCTACAGTCATGTGTAAATTTCAACTTCGAAATCAATTTGCAAAGTTAGCTCTTTTTTATTGGAGGGGCGAAATTCACAGCAGTGCGAGGCAACAAAATTTTAAAGCATTTTAATTAGTTAAATTAAATATTAGAAAAAACGTTGTTAACATTAGGTGTACAAAACTGTTTATCAACGCTCAAATGCCTTTTTGTCCCGACCTTCGGTCTCGACAGAAAAAGTATTATCTTGCGTTAAAAAACAATCGTTTTGTGCGCTTAACACAAAAATAACTTATTCATAAAATTTATTTTTTTTGTAATTATTTCTTGCATGGACTAATTAAACATTAATAAAACAGCAAGATTCAATTTTCATTTGAAACAGTTACACAATAAAATCGAGTTCTTTGGACACGTAGATACATATTTTAATATAAAATCTCCAATAAACTAAACAGCAAAACGGTTCTAATTAAATATTTTTTTCATAATGATTTCAATATTTTTATTTAAAACAGTTGCACGTCTGAATAAGTAATTTCATAAAAAGAATGTTTATTATTGTGTGTTTAATTGAACTGATTACTCACAGTTATTCGTTATACAAGACGATAAAGAAATTGTTTATCTACGAGCGAAAAGGTTAAGTTTACGATTGACGAAGTCACGAGTGGACTTTTTTGACGAGTAGATAAACAGTCTTTATCGCCGTGTATAATATATATTTCGTTTTATTTTGTACTCACCTAGCAGAATTTCTTAAATATAAACAGTACATAAAAATTACTTTATTTCACAAGACGATAAAAGACTGCTTTATCTACTGGAATTAGTTGACAAAAGCACTCTTTAACATTGAGTACAAAATAAAATCTTTTTCATCTATTAAACCAACATCACATTTCTAGTTTGTGCTGAAAATCTGGATTACTCACCATATACACATGACGTAATAAGGAGTCCAACAGACAAAAAAGACCAGTACGATAATGATGGTCATTTTCAAAGTACGCACTTTGGCTTTTCCTAGGAATGCCAAACTCGATCTTGTGATACTGTCTGCTGAAAAAAAAAATCTTGATTAAATATGCTCCTAGACTTTCAGAGATAGTTTCGATGTCATTTGTGAAATTCCAGCTCAAAATTACATCCGCTACTTGTTTGATATCTAATTGCACACCCACATCCAAGTCAAAAGACAGTTTAACACGGAGTTTTTAATTTTATAGCAAGTTCACAATTTTCCGATGCCGGAAAAATAGATTGCTTTGTTTTAAATGTTCTTGAACTTTGAGAAATGCGGTAACAAATGTTTTAGTTGCCGGAGTATATTCAATTTATTCGGGTGTTTGTCAAAAGCGCGTGTCCTTTGAAGAGAGAGTCCTAAGCTAGACAAATTATAACAATAGCACATTTAGACTGGAAGATAAACTGTCGGCCTGCCGTTAAGAGTGTTTAGGTGGACGAAAAATATTTCTGCTTATTCTCAAGCTAATTAAAATTGTTTTTTTCAACCTAATGTAGATTTGATCTCTTAATTTCTTTAAAATTCGTTTCTACTACACCACACTTACATAAATTTGAAATAATTGTTATACAGGATAAACAAAAAGTATGTAACCAAGCGTTTGTTTTTTATAATTTGCTTTCAAAAAATAATAATTAATAAAAATTATAAAGTGCTTATAACATTAATGATCGTATTTTAAAAATAAAATTTTGTTTTGTTTTTGAGTTGTGCGATTTTTTAACAATTAAAAAAATTACATTTTACAGCAAGCTAAAGCACACATGGTTTTGTGAATGACATGTCTTGACGTTTCTTGCCAAAACTAGTTTCTCCCTGTTAATCAAATTTTTGTAGAAAAAAGGTTTTATTAAAAAAAAAAATTGGAAAACTCAAAATTTAGAAAAATTTAACTTTTGATAAAACGTCACATTTTTATAATATTTTATCATACATCAAATAGTTTTTTTTTCAAAAAATAAATAGTTTAACCAAAAAAACATCTGGTTTCATTACTATAATAGTGATTACTGCTGCAACAATCCGGATCAAAAACTTCAATAACTTAATTAAGTTTGAATACAAATAAATATGTCGGTAGTTTTACTTATATATTGTTGTATTATGTTATTATGTTTTGTACTTTATGTATGTATTGTTTTAATTAATCTTAGAATCCATTTACAGAAAGCAAATTAAAAATTTTATTTTAGAATTTTAATTAATGCAAACGTAAATTAATCACGAATTAACTAACCAATTTTGCTTAATTTTAATTATCCAACATATGTTTAGTTTTTGTAAATTCAAGTAAATAAAATAATAATTAAGTCCTTTTTTTAATTCCTCCATTTGTAAAATATTCATTTTACAATACAAAAATGGTGGATGCGCCGGGAAAAATTATTTTTTCTGAATTAAAAACTGATTTCCAACTGGAGCATTTAGATCTAAGTCCCATAAGCATTATGAAAAACATATTCCTAATTTTGTGTTAAACTTGTTATTTATTTAAAAAGTGGTATTTTGTAACAAAAGGAAGTACATACCAGGTGAATAAAAAGTATGGAACCAAACATTTTTTGCTTACACTATTTATTTTTTGAAAAAACTAATTGATGAGTGATAAAGTACTATGAAAATGTGATGATTTAACAAGAATAAAATTTTTCGAAATTTCCTTTTGTTTTTGAGTTATACAAAAAACAATATTTTTTTAAATGGCAACCCACTATAAAATAATTTTTCTCATAAAAGCTATACTCTAAGGATTACAACTATCTGCTATATATTAAATTAAAAAAAAAATAATTCACATAAATTGCAATTTTGACAAAAAAATATCGCATAACTCAAAAACAAAACAAAATTTCGTTCTGAAAATACGATCACATTTTTTATATTACTTTAATTTATATTAATTTTTATTTTCTGGAGGCAAATGATTAAAAAAAACGTAATAATGTTTCTGTTCACTAGATATTCCAATAAGTTGTGGAATAAATTTATCCGACAATTGTAAAAGCGCCTCAATGAAGACAAATAATCGATAAACACGCCACATAAATTTAATCTGTCAGGTTATGCATTACTATCTACCTGTTATAAATTTAGACTGGATGCCAATTTTGTTACACTACATCTCGCACTAATCAAATTTTTACAGTTGTAAAATATTTGAAACTCAATATTCTTCACTCACCGCCGTAAGGATTGCGCGTCCTGCGTCGTATTTCCAAGAGTATTGATGCGTAGGAAAATATTATCACCGCCAAGGGCAAGGCGTACATCATCACCATCCCAAATAACAGATAGGTCAACTCATGTGCGTAGGTGGGAAACACGTTATAAGTCACACACTGCTGATACCAAGTAATGTTCGGGTGCGATTCGACGTGGAAAACCACCATCTGAAAAACGAGCCCTTTTGTCTCCAACCGACCGATAGGTAACACTTACTTGTGGAATGCTGCAGAGGGTGGCTCCAACCCAAGCCCCGATCAGCATGAATTTGTCTCTGCGGTCGAGGGCGCGAAGGTATAATGGCTTAAGAACGGCGTAAAATCTGCAAAAAAACAGTTAGCTGTGAAGTGAGGGTGTATCAAAGTATCACCTGTCGATGCTGATACAGACGAGAATGAAGCTGGATAAGTAGAGACCGAACATTCGGAAAAACATCATTATTCTACACATTACGTCGCCTGCATACCAAGACACGGTCGAAGCCCAACCGATTTCTAAAGGCATCATCAGGAATGTGACCTGCAGAAGAATTATTAGTTCCAAGATTGAATGGCAAAAAAAGAAAAAAGAGCGAAACTCGAACTAGTTTGTATGTTTACTAGTTTTTTAATAGTTTCATAGTTGACAGAGCTCTTTTTAACTCAAACATACATTGTTCATTTCTATTCTCTTCTTTTAAAAAACATTATCAAACAACTCTGAATGGGAAATTATCAAAGCACTATCTGTATTGAATTTATTTGTGTGTAAATACAGGGTCAGTTACAGGAGAGTTACTTTGAAAATTAATTAGTTTGCAACCAAAAATACCTTTAGCGTAACTGGATATAATACTGTGCAATCAAAAAAAAATTAGAGTAGAGTAGTAGTGATTAAAGTCCTTCAGATGGCAATCCTGATTTTTGACATCAAATGTCAGCGGAAACTTTGACAAGTTTGCGTTTTATTTCTTTTGAGTGAAATAATTTTCACTTTAGAGAAGAAAATTTTTATTGCTCGACAAAACGAAAACGGTGGATAGTCACTTTCAGTTTGTGTGGAAAATTTCCAGCCCATATTTCCATCCAATGTGTAGCCAACTGCAGAATTTAATCGACGCCTACTCTAATCTAGTCAGATTTGGAATTTTTTTGCATGTAACTTTATTTGTGCCGCTCTGCTTTTTTGAAAGCTCCAGTTCTGTCATTAGTGTCACTTATTAATTAATAATAAATTGTTGTTTATTAAACTTTTATTGTTTCAACTAATTTCCAATAATAATATACATGATGCGTTAGAACTCGCGCCGCAAAAAAATTTTCAAGTAAGGTAAGATACCAGGAACATGAAAAAAATGTTTAAAAAATTGTATATCTGTATCTGTCAAAAAATTTTGACATTTATTTTTTGACATTTCACATTTTTTATATCTATTTAATGATACTGATGATCTTGTATATATTTTTTACAATTATTTAGTAAAGGGACAAAAATTTTGCCAATAAAAGCCATAAATAACATTGAACAGAGTTACAATTTAGGATACAGCTTCCTTGTTTCCTTTTTTAATAGCTTATAGTAAAAAAACTTTGAAAATTATTTTTCCAATAGAAATAAATAGAGTCAAAGTGCAAACTTTAAAGCCTCATAAATTCGAAATTTTTGTAGATAAAATTTTTTTAACATTTTTGCCATGTTCCTGGTATCTTACCTAATATGGCGCGAGTTCTGGCGCACCCTCTATATAATATACATATACAGGCTGAATATAAATTATGGAACCAAGCGGTTTTATTTTTAATCATGTGCCTCCGGAAAATAATAATTAATATAAATTAAAGTAATATAAAAAATGTGATCGTATTTTCAGAACCAAAAATTTGTTTTGTTTTTGAGTTACGCGATTTTTTTTTGTTAAAATTGCAATTTATGTGAAAAAATTTAATATAAAGCAGATAGTTGTAATCCCTAGAGTATAGCTTTTATGAGAAAAATTATTTTATAGTGGGTTGCCATTTAAAAAAATATTTTTTTTGTAGAACTCAAAAACAAAAGGAAATTTCGAAAATTTTTATTCTTGTTAAATCATCACATTTTTATAGTACTTTATCACTCATCAATTAGTTTTTTCNTTTTTTCAAAAAATAAATAGTTTAAGCAAAAAACGTTTGGTTCCATACTTTTTATTCACCTGGTAAATATAATTGATAATAATGTATACTTTGGAAGAAAACAAGTTTATAATTGAAGTCTATTTTCAAAGTGGACGCTTAGTAAACGGCGATTTTTTAATTTTGAGTTAAAACAAGTAGGTACCCTTTTTTTCGTAAAGCGGCATTTTTTATTTTACATGGAAAATTCACAGCTGGCTAGATGAAAATCATTTATAACCACTTTGTATTTATTGCTCTATGCTCATCGAGATCTTTAGCTAAGCAATGTGACCCCAAGTAATGAAAATTTAAATCGAGAATTTTTTATCTTTTTCAAGAGTCGTTTCACCTATCCGGAGACACACTATACCGGGTGAGTCATATACAGTATGTCCCCGGATTGAGTTTACAAAAGGAAAATTTTTTTATCTTTGATTTTATGCAAACTGCAAATGAAAAAAAACTTTTTGCTTTACTTGAAAGCAGCAAATCTGTAATTATAACTTCAGTATTCTAACTCAGTAGAAAGAAAAATTCATTTTTCTCTGCTTTTTAAGTCTTATCACATTGGCGATTTTAATTATTTGACAACTATATGTCACTTTTACAATTAAATTAAATAATGATACTTCTTGTTAAAAATGATTTTAGTTTTTACCCTAAAGATATTTCTTTGAGTTGCTTTTTATTAAAATTATGTTTTTCACAAACATTTTTGTTATTTAACTTGCGTAAACTCTTGTGATAGGACTTAAAAAGCAGAGAAAAATTATTCTAAGTCCAAAATCAAGAGAAAAATCAACTTTTCTTTCTACTGAGTTAGAGTAATGAAGTTTTAATTACAGATTTGCTGGTTTCAAGTAAAGCAAAAACTTTTTTCCTTTACAGTTTTGGCGTAAAATCAAAGATAATCTTTTTTTCCTCTTGTAAACTCAATCCGGGGACACACTGTATAATAACGACCCTAACCGATTTTCAGACGCAACCCAAAATACATTCTCAGATACCGCCATGCATTAACTGATGTTCTAGCTGAAATTTTTCAAAGATATAAACATAGATACCTGTGATAGTTTTGACAATGTTTATAAATAATTGAAGTCCTACCGTGTACCTTTGATAGTACACATGTAGTCACATCATTTTTATAGCATTCTCCACTTATCAAGCTTATGTCAGTTTTTTCGTCGTTTGATTACATTTTGAATATAAGTGGAAAAAACTGGAATTGATGACACAGTCAAATTTAATTAATGACATATCAACAATTACTGTGATTTAAATTTAATAATCTAAAGTTTTCAAACGTAACAAAAGCCAAGTTGTCTATGAGAATGTATTTTGAGTTGCATCTGAAAATCGGTTAGGGTCTTTATTATAAATGACTCACTCTGTATATTCTAAGGCAAATGCTATCCTATCTCTTTTTTGTGACTAAGCCAGGTTTTTCTTGCTGCAACAGAAGCTGGAAAATCGGTAAAACGAATGACTTTCTTTGTCGACGAAAATAGACGATCTTATATCAATTGAATTAGCGTCGGAATTAGTGCTTGATCTTTTTCGGCTATGGTGACCTATTTTCCTTTTTAAAAATCTACGTTCTTTCCAATTTCTGACTATTTTATTTATCGTACTCTTTTTTAGAAACTCCCACTTCAGTCGCTTCCGGATGGCCATTTTTGTCAACAAAATTATTTTAATTATTTTTTTGATTAGTTGTTAAGAATCAAATTAATGGCAAATTTAAGTATTCTATAAACTAGCTTTTAAGTTTGTATTTATGTATTAATGTACCAAAAAAGAAGAATGATATCTATATACAGTATGTTATTGAAATGCGTTAAGAAAATTTAAACGGTGATAGAACTCATCAAACCAAATTACTTTGCTATTTACAATTTTTTCGAAAAATCTTTCTAAACCCAGATAAAATTTTAATTAGTTTCAACGTAAATTCTAGTACCCGCCAATGTCTCCCTGCGTACATTAAAAGCGAAAGAAGATAAAAACTTGATAGCCAAGCAAAAACCAATTTTTTATTCGTAGTAAGTGAGAGTGACATTCCAAGTTACGCACCACACTTGATCAAGGGCACTAACCTTCAAATTAAATGTTCGAAAAGACGCCCTCCGTTATCGATGTATGCTTGTGCCTTTCGAGTCATAGAAGTTTTAGTTGTCACCAACATGTCGGAATTTCGTTGAATTGACTCGGCTGCATTATTCACACGAACTTCGAAGTTCACGAATTCTTCGAAGGTGTTAACTGGAGTCTCATACACAATCAAATACAATCTGTTTTAAATGGTCCCATAGAAAAAAGTCACAAGGATTTAAGTCCGGTGAACGAGCTGGCCATAAAACTGGTCCATTACGCCCTATCCACCGATTTTCAAAATTTTAATTTGGCGACCGCGAAATCTCTCCAACAGCATTCGATTAAGCTTCCCCGTAGATCAGCACCATGTCTGTTAACTCCGGATTAGTGTACTGCACCGTTTTTGACGATTATTACGGGAAATTCACTTTCCGATAAATTGTAAACACGGCCGCATGCAGGTGAAGAACGTGACTAAATTGTGTCAGTAAGTTTTTGCAAGACCTATCTGCCTGGGTTTTTGCCGTATTTACTTTTTTGCGTACCGTGCCATCCATAAACGACTCGATGACACGGAAAACGGTGAAAATAAATGTAAGTAAAAATTTGAGTTTTCGAAAAAATGGTAAATAGAGAAGTAATTTGTTTTGATGAGTTCTATCACCGTTTAAAGTTTCTTAACGCATTTCAATAACATACTGTATATAAAGAGGCTTGTCCTGACTGACCTATCAACCCACAGCCTAAACCGCTGGAGACAGAAATTTCAAATTTTCACAGTAGATACCTTTTATAACGCAGGCATCCAATAAGAAAGGATTTTTGGAGAATCAACCCCTAAGGGGGTTAAATAGGGTGGTGAATTCGAAGTTTTAAAGCTATAGCCATGAAAATTGGTATTTAGGCTTTCGGTTAAAAATAAAAAAATACGTATTTTACCATTTTTGGAAATTTCACCCCCAAGGGGGTTGAACAAGGGTAAAAGGTCGTAAAATATTTGTATTTTTTTTTAAAGTTAAATTCATGAAAATTGGTAATTGGGCTCTCCGTTAAAAACAAAAAAAACACGTGTTTTAGAATTTTGGAAAATTTCATCCCCAAAGGGGTCAAACAAGGGATGAAAATTTGTATAAATATTTATAAATTCGTCATTTTTGAAGTTATATTTATGAAAATTGGGATTTGGGC